TATATATATATATATATCAGTAGCTATAAAATCTTTAATTGTGCTGCATCTTCATAGGAGGCATGAAACCCTACTTATATAGTGCTGTTGCTGTCAGAAAAATTATAATATTGGCCAGTTTTATTGTAAATTGTATTTGTAGATAAAAAAAAATTAAAAATAACTTTTGTATAAATTAAATTGTACCTTAACTAATTTTAGTTTATAAAGAAAATTATTATTTTTTATTTCATAAGTGCTTATGGAAAAAAAAACAAACAAAAATAGAACTTCAGTATGTAATAACACAAGAGATACTTCAGATTAAGAATTATACTTGTTAGTCCGAATCCGAACTACGAAATATAACGTTCAATTGTTAGAATCTAAACGTGTGCTTTTTCTATATTAATTTTAATGTAATTTCTTTTAATTTTTAACTCATTGTTAACTCTTTACTTTTAGTATATTTAATTTTGTTTTGATATATTATATTAAACTTTTAACACAAATTTTGAATTGCAATTCTTAAGTAGCTGCAAATTGTTGATGAAAATATATATGATTAATTAAATAATATATATATATATATATGAAAAAATCTATTTATTTCAAAAATAATTCTATCTAGATTTATTCTATTTAATAACTCATATTTTATATAATATAATATAATATAATATAATATAATATAATATAATATAATATAATATAATATAATATAATATAATATAATATAATATAATATAATATAATATAATATAATATAATATGATAATGTAAACACTCGTCATTAATACGAAGGTGCATCTGTCCCACTTGATGTTAATATTTATGAATCATAGAGCATGAAGTTTTTCATATTTATGAAAACAATGGACTTTTTAGTCCAACTCCTTGTCACATATAAGCGAGCGATTGAATTTATGAATGTTAAGCTTAGATGATTCATTATGATCGATGGGAGATATATACCTGCCAATCAAATTAATTAAGTAAGAACAGGTCACTGACAAAAAACTTTTTTTTTTTTTTGAAGTGGTAAACAAACAAAAAACAAGCAAAAAGTTTGATAAAATCATTAACGGTAATAATTTATTTTTTCCAGAGTTAAATATAACTACTATAAATAATAAAAAATTTCTTCTAATTATTTAATACAATTCAATTGTATATTCAAAATGTGATATTTTTTTAATGCCATAATACATAATAGATAAAACTAAATAAAAAAAATCATAATGGATATTCAATATTTAACATAAAAAATAGTATCACATTTTAATTTAAACAAAAATAATTAAAATTCAAATAAAATTTAATGTATTAAAATAACAATTATCCTAAAACATAATGAAAGAAAATAAATCTTAACTAAATTATTATGTCACATCCTATTAGAATATAAATCTAAATGCAAGAGCTAGATCTCATTACCAATATTCCTAATATTACAATGTAAATCACCTACATAATAACAAAATGATAATAATAAAAAATAGAGGATAAGAAATATATTACTTTAACTTACGATGCACAAATGTGTAATAGATTCCAAATCATAATTATATATTGTGTTTTGTGTAACACTCTAATAAAGTATTATTAAATTGTATAAAATTTTAAATAAAAAAAAGGTTAAACAAAATATTATAACTCTCAGCCGAGAAGTTTAAAATCCAAATAAGATGAATTTATTGAATAAATATCCTAAACTAATTAACAAGAAATAAATGTTTAATGCAACATCTCAATCTATATGCTCTGACATATTTAAATTATAGTAATAAATTTTTGTCTTAATTAATGTTTTATGGCACACCACATACAATTAAGATTTTTTTGGGCTGGTGTTTGAGACAAGGACAAAATAATTGATACAATTAAAATACAATATTGACATTGAAATAAGGCGAAAGGTAAATTATCTTATTTTTGAATTTCTATTTGAATAGAAGATATAATCTCTAATAATATAAAAGTATTCATCTTATTAAAGATTATATCTTCTATTCAAATAGAAATTTAAAGATAACATAACTCACCTTTCACCTTATTTTCTATATACTAATTCTTTGTGCAGGATTAAAAATATTTGTATATTTTTTATTTTTACTTAATATTTAATTTGTAATTTTTTAATTTTTAAAATAATAACACATTATTAGATATATTTAAACACTTTAAAATTATATATATACTTATTAATATGTATATCTAAATTTAATAGTTTATTAAATTTTAGGTACGTACTTATAATAAATTTTTTATTACATAAAGAATTTATTAAATAGAATCATAAATAAGGTATTTATCTAAACAAGACATAATTGAGGTTTATTGTACTATTAATCTCGAGACTTGTCAGAAAATTATGCAATTAACTGTCACACCAAAAAAGCTCAAATATACTTTTATTATGATCTTCGGGCATACATGTTGACGTACTACATGAAGCTAATTAACAGCAGAACATTTGGTGCGAATTTCACCATCAGCATCCGTTTTGACACCAATGTTACCCATCTTGATCATAGACTTGGCAAACTCTTGGTTGAAGAGACCTGTGGCCAAGTATTTGATAACAAAGGGTCTTGTGGAAGCATCAGTCCAAAGCACTTGATCAGAACGGAGAATTCCATGCCTTCTCTTTAGGTTAGCAAAGTAAGATGTGTCAAATCTGAATTGGCTACCTGTGTCTAGTGCCACTCTCTTCGTTGGTTGGTTTTGTGGACAAATTTGACGCAGAAATGGAACAAATGAAGGGTCAATCGAAGGATCAGTGCCGTTCGGACTGTATAATCTGTCTGAGAAAGATTGGCAAGCAGCTGTACCTATCGTGTGCCCACCTATTCACACAAATTTATTATCACCAACTATTTTTAAGGCCTCAAGTTGTGATGAATATTCTGTGTCTTGCTCTAAAAATTAAATTATCATTTTCATTAACAAGAGTTTCAACTTTACAAAACCAAATTATAAAGTGATCTATCACTTATATACATTTTAGTAATATTACTAATTAATCTGTCGATTAGTTAAATGATTCTAATAGGTTTAAGATAAATTATAATAGTGTCTTAAAAATATAAATTTAGATCTATACAACTTGTGTTTAACCCATTACGTATAATATCGTGCAACATAAATGAGGATTGATTTAACTTGCACCTAAACAGCAATATTGCAAGAAAGCGATTTGGTGCCTACTTTAGATTAATTTTATTTTAAAAATATTTATTTTTATTGCTTGCGGAGATAATTTTAAAAGAGATCCAAAATTATGAAGAAGAAAAAAACGTGTTTAATTGAAAAGTATGCCTACCAGCAAGAATCACAAGATCTTGAGTGTTAAGGCCCTTATCAGAAAACTTCTTATTCTGCACTGCAACTGTATCATTAGGACCAGGCAAAGTGAAGGCTTCAGTTCCAATTGAAACTCTTCCATCTCTGCGTCCTGTGGGCACTTGCCAACTTAGTCCACCACTCTGCATGCAACTCATGTATATAATTCAGTAGCTAGTACAATTTGCCCAGATCCAATGTTGGATGTTCCAAATCATATATTTATTAGGCTTATATAAACAAGTTTTATTCTCTAAACATTTATATTCAAAACAAAATGAAAAGTAAAAAATTAATTTATATACTTCATTTTTTTTTTTTTGAAGAAATTAAAAGCGAAAACGTGTATAAAAAATTGAAGTGTATAAATATAGATTTAACTTTATGAAGGGAAATTTATTTCATTATTTTCTTTTTCTACAAATATTTATTAAAACTTTATTATGTTCCTAATTTATTTTTTTAAAAGAAATATGCACTGAAACGACAATCAATTGTTAAAGGAAAAAAAAAAGAATAAATTACCAAAACTACAGAATCACGAGCAGCAAGGGCAAGAATATCAGCACAAGACACAACACCAGGGCACACAGCTTCGAGTTTTGCCTTTGCAGCATCAATGACCTCGTAGCCTCTCAAATTACGGTTTGGCCCCGCTGATCTCTCGGTATCAGAGCCAGCAATAAGGACAGAACCGTCACAACCTCTCACAAAGCAATCATGGAAGTGCATCCGAAGTATCCCTGCTGCTAAAGTAGGGTCAGACCTAACGTAAGATTCAACTGTGGACCTAACTATGGACTCGGCACGTGGACATGTTCCAGAATAGAACCCTACATAGGTGCCCTTGCCATGCACTGTCTTCACAACAGCCACAGCAAGCAAAACGAACTTTAAAATCAGCAACTCTTTGTTCCACAAACCACCCTCCATTTTTTAATAATTAAGGAATATAATATAGTATAGAACTACAGATTGAAGTGCAAATTAAACTTTAGTTTGGAAAGGGGAGGGTTTGGTTGATAGAGTGTGAAGAGTGTATGTATTTATAGGGGTTTCATGTCATTATTAATTTTCGGAGAATGAGTAAGCAAAGCTCACTGCTGCTACATATTAATTGCCATGCATGAACCAATTCAAAAGTATGATTTGCAAATGCAAGATAGGGCCTACGAGCGTTGGGATCACTAGTGTTATTAATTTCTTAATAATTATATGAATCTTTTGATCAAGTCTTCTTGAATTTTCTGCGAGGCATATATAAGCTTTTTTATTTTTTATTTTTTTACTAAAATAGGGTATAGTGTTTTTCTTTTTAAATTTACCAAAGTATAATACTTTTTTAAGAAATTAGTTATATAGTTTAAGTCGACTTTTGTTTTATTTTTACACTTTCTAATGATTAAAATTTACTGCAAAAGATTTTTTGGTTGTCTTTTACCAAAAATTGCTTTCAGAAAATGTATATCCCAAGTCAAATTTAACTAGGTTTGCCTAATAGTGAAATGGAAAGTTGAAAGTAATATTTACGCAAGTCTTAATTTTAAACTTTGTTGTGATCATTATAATTTTTATTAATAAAATTAATAAATCAACTTATACAATGCAGTTATTTTTTAAAAGTATATTACATCGTAAAAAAATTGGTGAGATCAGACAGTTGTATTTACCTGGAGATTGGTATATATATAGATTAAGAAAAACCGTAAAAAGTTGTACTACATCTACTTGTGAGTTCAGAAGCATAGACTATATGGGTTGGTAAGAAAATTCAGATACCTATGGAGTTTGTTCTCAAAGCTAACAATCATGGATCCAAAGAAAGTATACGTACCAAAAGTTGGTTTAAATTTGTGTTGCATGTGCCTCAAGGACAAACAAAAACATCGACAAGCTAGTACCTAAAAAGAGGATAATAATGTTGCCTCAGCTGTTGGTGAGAAATTTATGTCCAACGCAAATTTTGAGTTCTAATGTGAACCACTAATAGCAAAGTACATGTATTTTATCTTATGTTTCATAACTCTTTCTGGTTTTATTATGCTTCTATTGACTTAATTGATGACTTGCCTTAATATGTGTGTTTCTTACTTTTAGGTCCTTCCTTATAATGCTTTTATACCATGTCATATTGATTGATACTAGAAACTAGCATTACAAAATATCGTTAGTTAATATTCATATCATGGCATAATAATTTTTATTATATATATATATATATATATATAGTCATGAATATATATAGAGTTTAAATACAACCATAATAAAAATGAATTGCATGTAACAAAATGACTTTCAAGTTTCAACAATTATATTTTATTTGACCGCAAATGACTTTAACAGTAAGATATTTTGTACCTGTTAAAGAAACATTTTGCCTTGAAAACTTTATCCTATGAGAAACGGAGTTTAAGTCTGTGTTCCTCTTGGCAGTAGCCAAAAGTCAAAACCAAACCAAACCATAGTTTTCAGCTATTAATTAAAACGGATATCTGGATTGGCTCTTGACAAGATATATTAGCGTGATTCGTGAGTAACCCTTTTTGTTTGATCTTATCTATATATATACAAGTTGTAAGAACGTAATAATAATACTGAGATTTTTCAATAAAGGCATGAGTGGAAGAAATTACTAAGTAGTTCAGTAACATATGATTTTAATTAGTATCTATATAATATCTAATTAAATATTATTAATTTTTTTATAAATTAAAAAACTTAAATATATATTATATAGTGATTAGTTGAAACCATAATTCAAAATTATCTAATAAATTTTCCATGAATAGGCCTACAACTAATCCAAAAAAGTCCAAAAGAAAATAACAATACACGTTAATGGGGAAACTACTCATGTTTCCGCACATGACTCGCTCTTTGTTTTTGGCGATGCGTGTACACTGTAGTAATGGTTTCGCTATCTAGGTTTTCATTAATTTATTAATAATCTGTACAGTTAGTAGTAATCTTTTCTACCCATAAAAATGTATACGTACACGGTATTGTGATAAATATATTTATTTTAAATATATAAAGAATAATAAATATATATTCTTTTTGTAATAAATTAAATTTATAATTTATATAATTTATATAGGTTAATAATTATATAATTTAAATAACATTATCAATATTAATTTATCAATAATATTATTAATATTATTAATTTTTATAATTTTCATTTATTAGTATTAAATATATGTGCAATTTAAATTTTATATACCAAAATCAATTTCTATATATTAAAAGTAGTTTTGAAAAGAAGTAAAAAATTAAGACATAACCTTAATTGAAAAAAAATATTTTTCTTAATTTTGGTAAATTAATTATTTAACTTCTAACATAAATAAAGTTTAATGGTAAATACACTTACATATCATCTAATTATAATCTACCATAAATTATATAAATTTATTAAATTTTATAATTATAACTATCTTAAAAGTTAAAAGTCACACAAACTAATTTTTTTTTTGGTTGAGTGTATTAAAACTATTTTTAATAAATAATGATGGTAGTGTTTCTTTTTTCAAGAGACTTGTTCCATTATCACGTGTGCCAATTGAGTACAATCGCAACTACAACACATTATTCCGTTTTGCTAATATGATGATACTACCAAGTACCAATACTGCATAGAAATTTGCCTAGCTCTCACGTTTGCACCAGCTCACTCGTTGCCTCACACTATGACAAATGTTTGCCGTCCTGACCTGTGAGAGTTACAAGAAAAATCCTCCTTTTTCCAAGGCCTTGGTCATATACAACATTATAATTCCAATTTACTTGATAGGTCCAAGGTTTCAATCATCACTTGGTTCTGGCTGGAAACATCGTATGGAGTTAAACTATAAAAATCAGAATCTTGGTATTCTCAGGAGAATATCAGGTAGATGCCCTTGTTATTGTCTGCAACTAGGAATTGTTTAGGTTCTTAACATTTTCCAGTTGCATCCATTGGAGAAATGTGCCAGTGGTTTCATCGAGCAGTTCAGCCAGTTTTCACACGTAAAATCCTCATGCAATAGCTGCAACACTGCTTTCAATCTCAAATGCACCATGTGGTTTCCTCATTTTGTTCTTCAACACATTACTTTCTTAGTCCTTGCTATTTTTATCACACTTGTTATAGCTCAAAAAGATCATGTAGGTAACATTAATTCTCCTACCCTACCACCCTCAAATGACACAGTCAACATTGGAGCCCAAGATAAATCTTCAGATAAAAATAGTAGACTCAATAATATTTCAATAATCTTGAATGTGGTTCTTCTTGTTGCAATTGTGTTGCTATTGCTGCTTTACTACAACACATCCAGAAAGCTCAATCAAATAGTGAAGAGACAGATTCCTACAGTTACGGAAAAAGAAAATGATATGGAAATCAGTGTTGACAAGAAGATAGAGATAGGAGAGGGGACAATGATGATGGCAGTGGAAGAGAGAAAGGAACTAATATTCTTTAATGATAGGCCTAAATTTCAAATGGGTGAACTTCTTAGAGCTTCTGCTGAGGCATTGGGTCATGGAATATTGGGAAATAGTTATAAGGCTATGCTGAATGATGGACCTACCATTGTTGTAAAGAGGCTTAGGGACTTAAAGCCACTTTCTAAGGAGGAATTTGCCAAGATATTAAATGTGATTGCTGATATGAAGCATCCCAATTTGTTGCCCTTGCTTGCTTACTACCATTCAAGAGATGAGAAGTTGATGCTCTACAGATATGCAGAGAATGGAAATCTTTTCTCCCGACTTCATGGTAATTTGCATCAACTTGCTTTATTTTTTTAATTTGTTCTTCTGTGCATTAGTGAAATTTAATTAAAAAATTCTGCAAAAACCAGCAAATAGATACTGAATACAACGACTCAGTCAGCAGTAGGAACATTTTACGCGATATAATTTTCCTTTGGACAGTATCATAATCAAACATTCCAATCGTTATCCTTATTTAAAAATAAATAAATAAACAAAAGAAAAATGGTCGAGGTAAGGATCCCAAGTTTTCTAACTTTTTCTAACTCTGGTTCTGGTCCGCATTTTGTTAAATAATCACCATCAAGGTTTAATCTTTAAACCTTTTGTCTTGACAAATACTTCTTATGGCTTTAGTTCTGGAAATTAATCCACTCACCAAACGTTTGACGTGTAGATAAAAAAAACGTCAAAGTTAGAAATCATAGCTGAAAAGATAATTGTTGACGATCACAGCATGGAAGGGATTTCACAACTCAGATAACTTGTCAAATCAAGTTTTACAAAAACTCCAATTCACATGATCTATTTTTAAGTGTATTTTCTAGCAAAAACTGAACGCGAATAAACATTAAGAATATGTTAATGATATCTAAGAAAAAAATTAAAAATACGTTTACATTAGAATATACATTTTTCTAAATTCATCTTACAAACAATAAGGCAAGATATTAGTGTTTTCCTTGATCTTAAGCTAAATTAATAGCTTGAGAAAGGGAACTTAGGACATAAAGAAGTGGAATTGCGGAAGTAGAAGCTGGTTGAATAATACAGGAACTTTCATCATTCCTAAAAGGAAACTTCTCAAAATGACCAACGCCTTTTCATTTTATTTTATTTTGTTCTAAAATGGTCCCCGGGAGCCAGCACCCCAGTTTGCATCTTCATAAATGTGATGGTTCTCCTCTCCTCACTACATGTAATATATAGTACTTTATGTATCAGTACATTATGGAACAAAAAGACTAACTTTTACAAGAACCCATCACCCAAATCTTTCTTAATTTATTTCCTGAAAGAGCCAAAAGCTAAATATCTCTGCATGATTTAGTACAATCAAATTAGTTCTAGCACTTGTATAGTTACTACCTGATTTTTTGTCTAATGACTTCATAGTAATGAATTGGCAACCAAACTATGCATCTTTTTATATATCTTGTGCCCTCAAAACTGAACATTTCAGATGGTAGAGGTGGAAACCGGGTTCCATTCAGTTGGAACTCAAGATTGTCAGTTGCACGAGGAGTGGCTCGAGCATTGGTGTACTTGCACCTCAACAGCAAGATCCACAACATTGCGCCACATGGCAACTTGCGGTCTTCAAACGTACTGTTCGATGAAAACGATGCAGTTCTTGTTGCTGACTTTGGTCTTGCCTCCTTAATAGCACAGCCAATTGCAGCGCAGCACATGGTTGTTTACAAATCACCCGAATATGGGTATGCAAGAAAGGTGACAATGCAATCCGATGTTTGGAGCTATGGGTCCCTTCTAATAGAGCTTCTAACTGGCAAAGTATCTGTGTACTCAGCTCCATCAGGGACCAATGGCGTGGACTTATGTAGCTGGGTTCACAGAGCTGTCAGAGAAGAATGGACTGCTGAGATATTTGACAAAGAAATTTCTGGCCAAAAGAGAGCTCTTCCTGGGATGCTGAGGTTGTTGCAGATTGCAATGCGTTGCATTGAGAGGTTCCCAGAAAAACGTCCTGAGATGAGAGAGGTGGTCAGAGAAGTGGAGAAAATACAGGCCCCCTTGATCTCTGAAGATGATGATGATGTGTCTGGGGATAGGTCTCTAACTGATGATTCCCTTTCAACCAGTACTTCCATTTCCGTTATTGGAGATGAAAGATAGATGATGATGAGAGCTTGGGCCTCTCATCTAGAACACATTGTTCCTTTTGTTATAACATGGATTTAGTACATTGATCCTAAATAAATAAGTTGCACATTCTTATGCATGTTTGTTTCTTTCACAAAATAAACTCTCAAACCCCACTATTATCTGTGTTACTCAACAAGAATATATATTTATTTGGTCAAATTCATCTCGTGTCTGTGTCTGCTCTTCTTTCTTTTGTGCTATATCACATGGAGAAGGTGGGTTTGTTAAAATTGTTTTCTTTTTTAATAGAATCATATAATCTTGGTTAAATACCTCTTTTGGTCCCTTACAATATTTTTTTGTTTCAATTTAGTCCCACTTTAATTTTAGGTCTCAATTTGGTCCCAATAAATTAAATCATTGCAATTTGGGACTTCCGTCTAAATGATTTAAACAGAGTTAACTGATGGCCACGTGGATGCCAGGTGGATGTCACGTAAGTGGATCCCAAAACACTAGAATACACCTGGAACCAGAACGGCCCGTTCTGAAACCAGAACGGGACTTCTGGTTCCAGAATTTAATCTTTAATTTTTATTTTTTTAAATTTTATTTTTGCTAATCCAATAAAAAAAATTCAATAAAATCCAAGTTATCGAAAATAAAAATTATCACAGGCGAATATTTACTTAAGTACAAAGCATTTCAAACACTAGATTTGGTAATATTATTAATGGGGATTGATAATTTCAATTGCAAAACATTTGGGCTATACAGTGTATCATTAAGGACGATGCAATGTATCATTAAGGACAATGGTAACAAGTTTTATTTCATTGTTAGTCAAACTGGAGTAAACCACTTACTACTAAATTGACACTATACAGTCAAGGATGAAACAAAATGGTATTTCACCTTGAAGTCATTGACGATGTACCCCAACAATAACAACATGTTCTTTAGGAGGTACAACCTGAATTTTTGTGATTTAAGGTTTTCCTTCAGCATTATCCAGATGATTTCCTTTCTCAATAATTTCTTTAAACTTTTTTAGTATATTTTATGTTCTAAATTTTTGTTTTCAGTTTCTAAACCATGTTTCTATCTTTGAATTTATGATATATTATGAATTTTTATTTTCAATTTTTGAATCACATTGCGACATTTTAGTCAAGATTTTGAACTGGATAAGCTCAAATCAAATAAGGATTTTAGAAGATCTTATCTTATTTGATTTTTTTTTATAGTTTTATTCATAAATAAATATTAACTTATTGTATTTTTTATTTATTATATTTTTATTAATATAGATATAATAAAAAAATACAATTAAAAACATGAATTTGACATTCTGGAACGGGCCGTTCTGAATTCAGAACGGCCCGTTCTAGAAGCAGAACGGCCCGTTCTAGAAGCAGAACGACCCGTTCTAGAAGCTGAACGACCCGTTCTAGCAATAGAACGGCCCGTTCTAGAATCAGAACGGCTCGTTCTTCTGCATTCATGTTGTGTTAAATTTGCATTTGAAACGGTCCGTTCCAATTGCAAAATTAATACACCAAGAGTGCATCCAGAATGGGCCATTCTGGTTTCAAAACGGGTTGTTCTGGTTCCAGGTGTATTCATGCAATTTGGCGTCCACGTACACATTCACGTGGCCAACAGTTAATCTCGTTTAAATCATTTGGACAGAAGTCTCAAATTGCAATGATTTTAATTATTGGAGACCAAATTGAAACAAAAAATTAAAGTGGAACTAAATTGAAACAAAAAATTATTATAAAGAACGAAAAGAGGTATTTAACCTATAATCTTTGATCCATGCTAATGGAATTTGATCATAATAGACTTGAAATGAGTAACGGTGAACATATTTCGGCCAGAGCCGGATAATGGAAATAGGGGGTAAATATTCCCGAGGTGAAGTCTTTCTCTGTTTTCTTATTTCTGGGCTCATTATAATTCCTCTGTGTAGGTGTGTTAAGCATGAGCCAACGTCAAAACAATCGCACTCTAAATTTAAAATAATCAAGTTGGTAATAAAACAAGTGGTAAACATATTGCCATATCGCACGATAGAAGCATAAAACAAGTTATCAACCAACAGTCAAGAGTGGAAAACTTGGATTTAATTCTAATTAAAAGCTGCTACAAGGAGATATAATTGGTATTCCGGAAACAAGTAATAGCATCCAGATTGTACAAAAATAAAATAAAATAAACAAAATACACCTTCTCGTGAACTTTTCACATGAAGAAAGAAACACAAGAACCTTAAATAAGATGACCTTATTAAAAATCAAAAATCAAAAAATTTCTATTTAATGTCTTTGCATCTACCTCTTCACAAGTAACGCTAGTTTCATATTAATTTGATGGCTGATTACGGGCTGTGCGGATAATTGTGATCTTTCGGGTTAAAATAGTTGCAGTACAGCATTACTCTGAATCATCGTATATGTACCTTATCATGATTATGATACCTTTCCTTATCAGATTAGCACAAATTTACATCAGTATTGTGGCATCCGATGCAAAAATGGATCACAAATTAACAAAGGGATCCGAGTAAGCCCGAAATAATTATACATCATCATACACGACGATGACTGGAAAGTAAAAATTGTACAACGAAATGCGCCAACGCTGATTTCACTTTCATTATGTGTTACCGCCTAAAAACTTCTTTTCCACTCCGGTTGAAGAATCTTCCTGACAGACCTGTTTCTCAGTCTTTACTGGTGGATTGATCACTGATCCATGTATCTGTCGATAAAACCAGAAAATGAGGCTTGGACTTGAGAGTAGCTTTTACTTCATTGAAAAATGATAAAAATTCATGAAAGCATACCAAGGCACCGGATTTGAAAGGTAAGGTTTCGTTAGGTAGCAGCATTGATGGGTCTGAAGGCCTGTGGAACAGTAAGTGTGCTACAGACCGATCAATAGGATTTGTGTCAGTTTCCATGTCCATTAATCCGGTACACCTGAATGAAGCTATGTGTTATCAAAAAGATTAATTCATAAACACAGTATTTAGAGATAGATCCAAAAAGCATTGTGTCAGCATGTGAATAAAAATAACAGAATATTACATCTTTGGAAACACTACAAATGCCAGATAAGTAGAATAAAGAACTACTAACAGTCAAAATCGTGCTACAACATTCTAATCGCTTTTTACAATGGTTAGTGGCTATCTTGTAGTCAAGAAAAATATAAATCTGAAGCGAAGAAAGTGAGCAATACCTGCTAGCATCCTGCACCATCATTGTTTTGCATGTTTCATTGTCTCCAATGCAACCATTTGCATTTGAATTATTATGTCTTTGTTCAGCACTCTTAGCCAAGCGGTATAGACTGTCCCTTATGCACAACTTGGTTTTAATATCCAGCTGCAGTCAAGCAAATTTTTGGTGAGACAAAGTAAATTATAAATAATTTAAGTGACAGATTTCAGCGATGAGTCACATGCAAGTAAACCTTAGCATTACAACTTTAAATTACTAAATACAAGCACTATTAGCCTACTCCCTATAACTGGAGGCCCAAAAAAGGCAACCAAGTGCTATAAAGCTCCAGCCATTATAGATCTATTGCAGGCAGCCTTACCTTGCATTTGCAAGAGGCTTTTCCCACAACTCGAACTTGTGACTTGTTAGTCACATGGAAGCAACTACAACTAGAGAATATAACAAAAACTAGCACATTCAACAAAGATGGAAATTTGTAAAGACTGAAAACTAATAGTTATAAAGATAACTTGATATCTTTATTTTTCATTTCTTGCTTTGCCTCAAATTCTTGAGCTTTGCAGTAAAAAGAATAAATTTGATAATCCTTTCTGCTCTTTAAACCGAGTATATTTTTGTCTCATTCCTTTATTGAATAACTCGTACAAACAGTTCCAACAACCAAGATATCTTGCTGCATTACCAAACTTTTCCACCTTCATTCATACCAAGAATATAAAAAACTTTACTGAGGCTGACATCCTACTGTAAGCAAACACTTTGGATACATCCAAATCATTGCTGCTACCATTCTTCTATCCTCACTTTCATATATTTTCATAATCCATCAGGAAGTGTGTTAATCATCATGAACATGTTGTTATTATTAAACATTACATCAAAGTAATTTTTTCAAAGATCTGTAACTTATGCAATGCCCAATATTCAACCATGCCAAAGTGTCACCAACTCTCCCAAGAGCTCGAGTTATTAGGGGGATGCTCGTGAAGGACCTCATACCAACTGATAAGCTATAAATTTACATGCTATTTTCTCTTCAGGATTATGCACAGCCAACCATTACAAAACAAGTTTAGAGTACAATGTTGAGATGATAAATACAATAAACTGTTTCCTCTCAAGATAAAAAAATGTAAGAATAAACAAGATCAAACTTTAACATCACACAAGATTCCAATACCTGATCCATGATCTGTTGCAGGTGGCAAAAGCTAGTAGCTTCAAGGGTGGTTTGGTCCAGAGCAGAGCCCATGGATGAGCTTTCCTGCATTGTTGATGAATCTATTTCTGGTGATAAGCCTACGGTAACTCCTTGGACTTCACTATGACCTTCATTTTCATTTTCAAACTGATGACCTACTTGCTGAGCTGAACCTGGACTGCAAAATGGCATTTGATTTGGCATGTTTTCATTTTTGAAACTACTACTTAACAGCAGTCCATCACAGCAATGATGCAACTTTTCTCTATTCTCATTTGTTTGCAAGGCAGAAGCCTCCAAAGAATGACCAAGAGAACTCTCCATGTTTGACGCATAAGATGATTCTTTAAGAGAAGGAGACAGATGTCCATCATGCTCAAGTCTTGATCCAGACATAGTTGGAAAGAGGGAAGTGTGATTTGGAGTATGACTATAGTCCGGGTGTGTTGTAGGAATTTGTGTCTGCACACAGCCTAAAGAATCAGAATCTATGTTCAGCTTATGTTTCTGGATGCTATCAAGAGAAGTAACCCCACTGGAAGAGGCTCCAAAGGGTTGCTTTGTATCTGCATTTTGCTCTGGAGGAGCATAAGGATGAACAGAACCACCATTTTCTAGGTAACCATTTTTCCGCGGTCCTGCTGATGCCTTTGGCAGCTTCCTCTGCAGCTGCAAAACAGAAATTGTAGGTGATGTACTAATTAAGAATCAATATAGTTCGGTACCCTGAAATTGACTTTTTGACTTTTGAGTATTACATAAAGGTCTCGAGCCCAATTTTTCCATCAACAAAATCATCTTATGAAAACTGTTTACTAAAATTATTTAAAAGTTCTATATCTTAAAAGTTTTAGGAATCAATATTGATATAATTTTGCTTCATTTCATAATTATAAAAATCTTTTAAAAGGGTGAATGTATGACTATATTCAGAAATTAACTGAATCTCATTAAAATGTATGAATTCCAACATTACTATCCTTGAAATGTCGAACATAATCAGTTCTATAGCATGACATACTTGAATTATCATATTCAATAATTCAATTCAATGGCATTAACAATTTTTACCAGGTCAAACGCATATGACAAACTTATTATGTCACACACCTTGATAGGACCACTACAGGAAATTGTTTATAATATACCCCAACCCAAACCACCCATGTGATGGGTAAAAGAATCCACATCAAATATTAGCTGAGTTATAAAATTGAAAAGATACAATAAGATAAAATGAAGGGTAGCCAACCTTTTCTTTGGGAAGTGGGTCAACTATATTACCAGATTTCATGTCTGACTCACTCTCACTTAACATTGATAATGAAGCAAGGACACTATCATCAATAACATCCATTTGCGACCTGATTTTTTCATCAACAGGAGATGATCTTTTGTTGGAATCATTGATTGGAAGACCTACAATATTTTCCTTGGAATCCATATTATAATCTGATATACTTTTCAATGGACTCAATTCTGCATATGAAAACTTGAAGTCAGACTTCAAAGCATCATCAGAATCTTCAACCCCGTGAGAAGATGAGAGCCAGCAGAACTCCTCATCATTATTGAGGCTTCCAGTTCCAAATGTTAAATCACAACTTCTGCAATTTAAAAGTGATATTCAGATACTTATGATTGAAATGAATTGATTAGCATTTCAAGCAAAGGGAAAGATGAGGAAATTTCTGTCAAATAGGAGAATTTCTTACAATATCCGGTCAACGTCTTCAAAGTTTCCTATATCCAGCCACCCATCATTATCAAGAAAACTGAGTTCATTGTCAGCTTGGGATATGTGATTGATTGGATATTGACAGACACTGTCATCTTCCACCACACACTTGTCTCCCAAGATAGAATCATCTGCACAGAGCTCGCAACCACCGGAATCTAAATTGCTGCTCTTGAAGCAATGATTGGGCATGCCTGTGTCATCTAATGTTAGCCTATTGGCTTCTTTCCTCGAGTCACTACCACATGAAGAAAACACACCTTCAGGTGTGTGAGACCATGAATCCTTTTCCAGCATTCTTTCTTTTTGGGTCATATTTTCTAAGTATAATTCCTCTTTACCTTGTGTACCATATCTATTCACATAATCAGTATTTCTTATGACACGTAATTCTTGCAATGAGTCCCTTCAGCTATCTCCCTGTATTATAAACTGGTTATTATGTTTGTCACCAGCACGGGGCACTATATGATCATCTTTTTCACCAAACCCATTCCACACATTATCTTCAGGCTGTAACACAAAGGCTCTTATTAAGAAAATTACTTGAATAACCTGGCATCAGATACCATAACAAATCGATAAAAAAACATATGGCATCAAAAGAGAGAAATAGCAAGCATCAGGCTTATAATTTTGTTAAAGCTCATACAAATACAACCCCAACCACTCTGCTGGTATCTGCAAGAAAAAGGAAACAGGAAATAACAATACAACCTAAAAGTTTTTCCATTATTCATAATGACTTATGATAAAAAGTCCACCTTACATAACATGAACCATGTCATCCAAGATTCAAACTGAAATTTAAGGAAGCTTAACTCAGGCCTGATCAGTTAACATGCAGTACTTTAAGAATAGGGCTAGGCAAATAAGGAAAAAAGTGGAGCTGATGCAGGCAAAGTGTTACACAAATTTAGATTTCAAATTTACCATTCACAAGCACTGAACACTTCAAATTAACTGTAACATCCACTACCCCCACCACCAATCAACAACTAGCTTTTCAAGGGTAGCGCTTCAGGAGTCTTATTAACAACTACCAAGCAACTTCATCTCTAGCTCTTTTGAGATTGGATTTCACAACAGCCTTCTAATAAGATTATACTACAGACCAAGAGTTCATTTGCATATAAAAGTGATATTCAATTAGAAATAACATTAGTACTTGAATGAAAACATCTAATGAAGTCTAAATAGTGATGTCATCAATAACATTACGGAGCAGTTCACATTATATGAGTAACAAAGGAACATTCTTCAGTTATAACGAAGATCTGCCACTGAGCATTAGCTATAGTACGGCATACTTGTCAGATTTCCTCCAGTTCACACACACTGTTCAATATTTACTGCATTGCTTTAGAATGATGTATATACAAATGAAACTCTAGGGAACATTGCTAAATGTGTATAGTATGGCACAAGAATATTATATTTCAAATACTGGAGTTGAATTTAACTACAATATTCTATACCTCTTACATACAGATGTCTGCTATTCCTCTTAGACTTCTTATCCTCCATTAAAGATAAATGTAACTGGTTGATCCAATGTCATGTTTCTTTAATTATATCTGTCACCAAAGTTCAAAGATGCTTCTCAATCACAGGATAAGTCAAACAACGAACATAGCTTAACTGCTTAAGTTGGAAAAATTACTAAAACAGTGTCAATGCCAATCAGCACTCCTATAGGCATTTAGAAATTATGAATAGAAATGATCAATGATACTAACAGCAAGCATCAGTGTATTCTGAATGTTGGGTTAACTTTAACACAATAGCTAGCATGTTGAGAGTCTTAAGATAGCCAATAGGCACTGGTATCACCACCACCACATCACAGACAGCATATGAGCATCAATATCCATCAGAAATTGCCAATGTCAATCCCCCTATATCTGTTGACTATGACTGTAATCATTAACAAATTCGGAAATTTTGAATATAAAAGTAATTTGTCAAATAGTTTAGATAAATTTACTATTGTCTTTTAGTTTACCAAATACAAAGCTGGCACTAAAGCAGGATCCAAACAGATCCTGTTTCAAATTTTAACAGCTCCACAAAGTACAAACGTTTGTTTTTGTTTAAAAGTAAAGCATGGCCAAAACCTTCACCAATTACAAACCAGTTTGACAAAAGAACGCATTAGCTAAAGGTACTCCCCCCGTAACTATCATCTGTTATATTTAACTTTTGCTAAGCCCAGAATCTCATTCCCTGAAGGCACTCATGCCAAATTATCAATCAGCAACTCTTGTTTTCCTATTAAACAGAGTCCACCAATATCACAAAGATTATGCAATTTCATCTTATTCAGTAACTTACTACAGATATATACAGTAAGATATACCAGAACAAATCTGTTTTCTGAAAAACAAAACAAGCCAGTGACACAGAAATTTTAAGATCCAGAAAACTGAAAAAACATTTTACCATTTCCTTACTTCCCAATCATTGCACCAACCGGATTGCTATGTTATAATAAAATCAAAAACACCTAACGACCAAAATCGCAATTAAAAAAAAATAAAGAATAAATAAATAATTAAATAACACAGCAATTATAAGCCATGCACTGATGACAATAACTATCCTGTTGCGGAAAAATAAGAAGAAGAAATTCTATAATAAAGTGATTTAGAAGCTATTTGGCCTAATTTAAGTTACAGAACTATAAACGAAACCTTCTAGAAGAAGAAAAGGAAAGGCGTGAAGAAGCTGAGTTGAAGTCCTCTTTCTTTTTCAGGCATAGTTTTCATATTCGTCAACCTAAAACTACACAGCATGCATAGACCAAAGAAGAAAGGGGAAAAAAAAGCTAGCAAAACGAGAAATCAGCATGACAAAACTAACTAACTAACTAACTAACCAAACAGAAAAAATCAAACTCACCAGAGGATCGAAATTAGGGAACACGAAGAGAAAGAAAAGGTGTGTGAAAGAGGAAGAGATTGAAATGGAGAGCGTGCGCTCGTTCGTTCGTTCTTCAGAGATTCCTTTCCAGACCCTTCTTTACTATCCAACTTGTACTTGCCCGCAGAATTTTCTTCTTTTATTTAAAAAACATATACATATATATTATTATTGTGTTATTTTGGCATCACGCAGAAACCGACACGTGGCAATGAGATGGATATGAAATTTGGTTCGTGGATGGGAGGTGGGTGCTCAAGATCCGATCAGTTACTGCATTTCTATTGGTTCACGACGAGTTTTGGGACACGTGCCGGGAACGCACTGAGAGTGGCATAGGCACGTGCCAATCCACTTGTGAGGTGAATATAATAATGGCCACTTGTCTTTCCTTCGCCCACTTTGGAACCTCCTCCCTTTTTCTCCTCCTTACAAAATTTGTCATCTCGTTCAGTGGTATATATATTTAGTTATTTAGGGGTTGAAAGGTCAAATGATAAATAAAATACTATATTTGTACCCACCGATGCTTTACGTCTTAAAAGCTTGGACTTTTTTATATATAAATAATGGAAGGATACACTTACTTATTTTTAGACCAAATCTACTTTAAAATAAATTTATTTTAATTTATTTCACTTAATAATTAATATTTTATATTAAATTTTAATAATTTAGTTATTAAATTAAAAAAATTTAATACATAAATTAAGTTTATAAATTTTATAAAATTTAGAAAATTAGTAGATTCTCTATTTTCTGTTCAAATATTTTATGTTGAGAAAAAATTACCTATATAAGAATTTTCTTTAATTTAATATCACATTGGCACAAACTTTTTAATTTAATAAATAATTTTTAAATTTTTTATTTTTGATATTTTTATTTTTTTAATTTAGAATGGCCAATAAGTCTTGGGAATAAAATCACATTCATAAGCTCACCACCTATAGATTAAATCAAATTAGGCAATCTCTCAAATATGATCACTTAACCATGACCTTAGATAAGCAAAGGATAACCCAACATGAAATTATTTAGTCAGGTCAAATCCTTCACCGACTCTTAGAGATGAAAATAGGTAAGTCTTAAACAAAGACCTATGATCTAGATCCGATAAGTCAACTTATTTATTTATATAATATAATAAAAAAAATTAATGTATATTATTAAAAATAAAAATATAAAAAAGTATCAATATTTAAAATAATTTTTCTCCCATGTTTCTTTTAAAATTTAAAATTTAATAATATTGAATAAATTATATTTTAAAAATATTTTATTAATTTTTAAAAATTAAGTTTATTTGCCTAATTAATATTAATATTTTAAATAGGTTAACAGGTCAGGTTAGACTTTAAAAACATCCGGTCAAACCTGTGAAAAAACCTAGAATAGATAATAGACCAAGCTTGAACTTTAATTTTGTAAAATAGGCCTAGTTTATATATTCAAAGTTTAGTCTGACCTAACATATTCTCATCCCTACCAGTTCTATCACTTTGGAAGCAACATACAAGGATACATGTAGAACAATGTCCCAATTCAAGGAATGGAAAAAGATAACATAAAGTACTCTCCACTTGACGCACTACTTTAGCTCAAAGCATGTCGACATGGATGACTACTTGACCTTAAACAATTTAATCCACTCCTCCTCGATGACAATTTGCTTTAACTTGCACTTTTTCTCTTGAAATTGCCCCTTCACAACGACAAACACAACTCGAGCTTGGTGTCTCTCCCATGAAACCTTACCGCAAATTCCCTCCAATGATTATCCATATGCTTGCTAGCCTTCAACATTGTGGCGAAAGCAACCATAGCCTTCCACTACTTCACATACAATGAAACACTTGAGCATTTATAGTATGATAACTTTTAAATGAAATAAAATGTTGCATTTATAGTATTCATCATTGTAACGAAATACACTAAAAAGAGTTGAATAATATCAATAAAAAAATTCAACACTTTTTTGAAACAAGGAAGTATAATATCAAAACCTTAGAAATCTAGATGAAAAGATAAGAGCAACAAACACAATATTTTTATACTAGTTCATCTCAACTACTGAGACTACATCCAGTTTTTTATTAGCTTGATCAAGTTTCATTATCTTTCACAATAATATAAGTACTCTTTCACAAACCACATATGACTCAACCTAAATATTATTTTATTCACCTCTTCAAACAACTGTTCATGTATTATTTGAATGATGAAGTCTTTCTAAGCTTTAACAATCATGTATTTTTTTTTTGCAACAAAATCTCTTCAAACTTCAAATGATAACACAAAATTAAAATTGAAAAATCACTTATTATTATTATTATTATTATTATTATTATTATTATTATTATCATCATTATCATCATCATCATCATCATCATCATCATCATCATTATTATCATCATCATCATGCATATGTGGATAGAATTGAGCACTAAGATATCTCTTAAAATTAGCGAGTAATTACTTATACTTGAGTTGGTGTCCATTAATCAAGTAATTATCCTACCCATCATGCATAAATTCTTTTAAATACTCGTTAAAATAATCATTTATTGATTTGATTGATGAGAAATTAAATCATGTATATGAATTCTATTCTCACTCATATAAAAACCTTGTTAATAAATAATTATAAGTACATTTATAAGTGTTATTTGAATCTAATCCTAATAAACTTTTGAATGAAATTTAATTCTTCTAAACTTTTATCAAACAATTTTTTTTAATATGTGCATTGCATGACACGAGACAAACCTAATATGTGATTATATTAATAATTATTTATCATAAAAGGTGAAAAATAATAACGTGATAGAAAAAGAAATCAATTTTTTAAATGCAAGCGCAAAAAAAATATATATATATATATATATATACATGCTTCTTAATAAAAATAAAAGTAGTGTGATGTTACATTGAATGTTTTGAAAATAGTTGCCATTCACAAATGAAACAAAATTGATTAATCGGGAAATGTGAAGAAACTTTAAAATTATTTATCTGTCTTTATGGACTTTATCGGAAGTTAGGAGTCGTCTTCTCTTTAGTCTTTTCTTGGGTGACATTGATACCAGCGCCTTGTTTTGTAAGGCATGTTCTCGTCGGTTCAATACAGTCTTTCTCGCATTGTTGCTTTAATTTGATAATCGTTAACATTTTCTTTTGCAATTATAATCTCGTCATAATAATTAAATTCTCTTTAATCGGCGAAGCCACCTAACAAAACAATATCTCCTTTTCAAAAATGTATTATTCTATAAAGAAAAAAAAACTATATTATTTATAATTTTAATATTAATTTTAAATAAAATTTAATAATATATATCTGTCATTATAATGTGTTATTATATTGTATATTTACATTTTAAATAATATATAAATATATATTATATTTATAATATATATAAAAATAATTTTTAATAATAAATATTGTATAATTATATAGTATATTATAGTATACGATAATTTTTTTAATGACATTAATTACAAAAGCATAAAATATTTTATGTTAAAAATATTTTACAAATTTTAGAGAACAAATTTTGTATTTAATATTATAGGGAATTAAAAGTGGAATTTAGATTATAATATTTATTTATTTAAATATAAATTTATTAACTTTTATATATTAAATACGAATTTTTATTTCATATAAGAATATTTTTAGAAGTTATTTTGAATGAGGTTTATAGATATTTTTTTAACTTTTTATTTAATTCAATTTTTATTTATCATAGTTATTTATGAATTAAATAATAATAATTAGATTAAATTACACTTTAATTCTCATTTTATCTTACTTTTATTTCCTTTTATCACTTTTAAAGGTAAAAATAAGACTAAAATGTAACTTAATCTAAATATTACTTATTAATTATCACATCATCTACTTCATGTTAAACTATAGTCTATATTACAATTTCAAGGATCAACAAATAAGCATTTAAGGATTATAATAAAATTGTAAATTTTACGAAATTGAACATAATGGATATTGTAAAAATCAAAAGTTTAATTTAATTTAAAGGTCCAATTATTCAAACAAGGTATGAGTTTGATCCTTAGTAAAAAATAATTATTAGTTGAACTTTACTTACTTCTCAACCGAGTTATATTAGTAAAAAATGAAGTCTTAGAATACTAGTAAAATAAAATAAAAAATTATATTTCCTAATTAAGGATTAATTCAAAACATTTAATAAGTGTTTTTCTATTTCCAAAAGCAACCCATGTAAATTGTTATCTCAAACAAGAACAGTTTTAGAAGTTTCTTTAACTTTTTATTAAATTTAATTTTTATTTATCATATTTATTTATAAAGTATTTAAAAATAAATTATAAATAATTAAAAAAAATTATTTGCCATGATATAAGTTATTTATTTTAGATCAGAAATATAATTTATATATTTAAATATAATATTTATTTAGATATATAATTTATTATAAAATTTAGTTATCGATACTATTAATAAAGGAATCTATCTCATTTGATGTCTATATATATTTTTTACAATCTTATTCTTGTTACTACTTTTTTTACAAATTACAATTTATCTATTCTTTTCCATAAATTTCAGTCTGCAACTTCTTATAATTTTAATAACCACTAATTATTATATAACTTTTTTAATTTTTAATTTTAAAAATAATTCACAAAACATCGTTTATATGCTAGTATATAACAAAAATTTAACATGTAAAATATAAATGCTAAAATACTAATGAATAACTGCATTAAAGGCATGTATAAGTTGGATAATACATAATTAATTCAATTTAAAATTATACGTTTAATATTTATTGTTCAAAATACCCGACCATTCTTCCCAAGGAGAGAGTTGCTGTTTTTGTTTTGCCGTTCTTTTTTCTCGTGATTTTATCTCTTGTAAAAAAAAATACATGTAAAGAGATAGACATAAAGGCAATAAACACGACCTAATATTGGTTAAAATATATATATATATATATATATATATATATATATATGTTTTATTTATCTTTTAGTCATTATAATTTAAAATAAATATTTTTAGTTTATATATTTATTTTTTTAATCATTTTTATTTTCTTTTGTATTGACCTAACGGAAAATTTTAATTTGTGGATAGAAAAAAAGGTGTCTAAACACATTGGATACGTCACAAGGATAAAAAAAATGAAATATCAAAAAATCTGATTTTAAATAAATAAATTTGATATTAAAAATACAAAGTTGAATACTTGTTGCTACAATAACATAAAAGAGATATTGTTAAAAAAGAAATTAACGCCAAAGATAAAAAAAAGATTGCAATTATATGATTAAAAAGATACATCTTAAATTATAAGATTAAAAAATATTTTAAAAATAAATATATGAACTAAAATATATATTTTAAATCAACCTCTATATAAAACATAAATATATATTTATTAATTAAATTTAATATTTAAAATAATTACTAATAAATAAAAATAATCGTATACTATAATATAAATTATTTATCACAAATGTAAAGTATAATTTATATATTTAAAAATATATACTTATTCAAATTTTGAAGAACTAATTAATGTAGACCAAGTTATAACACTATCAGCAAGAAAAAAGGTTTCACCAGGAAATATCACCTGTTTTTGCTTCCTCACCCATTTGCCGTATGAATAGAGACTGAAATGTTAGAAAAATTATAAAGAATGAAGGAGTATAGGAGGCGAAGGGATTTCAACGCGCAGGAGAAGAAGTTTTTGAAATGTCTCCAAATCTCCAGCTGCTAGTGACCTTCTTTTAAGGGCAGTCATGTGCATTATTTACATCGGACAAGGGAGGGTCCAACGTAAATTATGCAATCTACGTCGGAGGGTAATTGTGTCCGACGTAGAATGTATAATTTACGTCGGACCTTCCCTTGTCCGACATAAATTAGTTAGCTTTTATTTACGACAATGTCACCGTATATTTATAATATCGTATTTTGGGAGTTCTGACGTAAATGAGGTGACGTAAAATCCTATTTTTGTACTAGTATTAGTACCATGTTACTAACATTATTTTTTTTACAGCTATCAACATTTATCTTAAAAATTATATTACTCTAAGCGAACAGTCAATTAGAAAATAAAAATAAAAATAACGTGTAATTGTGTTGATGTGTATACTTTATGCACTTGCTGTTTGTCAACCACAAACGTATTCAAGCTACAGCTAATTAATTCCTTTAAGAATGTATGTATCCTGTCATTCAGAAAGTAAATAGAATTTTCTTATATATGGTCACTAAAATAAAACTTCCTACCAATTATAAATGTTAAAATCAATAGTATATACTTAAAGAATTCGACTACATTATCATAGTTTTTTGAAATGTTGGGATGAATTTATATGTATTAGAGCTTTATCAACAAAATTGTAAAAGAAACAAAAAAAAATTAAATATATTCTTAATCATTATACAGTAAGCAGTTCTTTATTTTAGTTATTGTAAATTTTTTATTTTATTTTTCATCCTATTAAATTTTGTAAACATTATTTTTACTCCTTGTGAAAAGAGTAAATTTTTATTTTGATTCCTGTAAAATATTTTCTTTTTTAATTTGTATATCTTTAAAATTTAAAATAACTATATTTGGTACTTGTAGATAAATGTTATTTATTTGAAGGACCTATAAAAGAAATTAAAGGCGTCACACGCTAACATGATATTGTAACGACTCACTATGATTTCTATACTTAATGATTCAACTATTAATAATAAAAAAATATTATTACAACTAACTACAATCATGTAAGCAATACTTGAACATACCAGTAATAATATATACTATACATGTATTAAAATTTGCATCAACAATTGACATGACTATACATGTATGTGTATATGTATAGATGAGTTTATTTAAACTTACTTTACTCAATAACTCGTATTCTACATTAAATTTTAATAATTCAATCATTGAATTAAAAGTTTTTAATGTGTAGATCAAGTCTGTAAAGTTTTTTTAAAATAAAAACTATTTATTACTCCATTTCATTAATTCAAATTAATGCATATAATATTTTTATGATTATTTATCAATTTGAATTAAAGAAATGAAGTATCAAATACTTTTCAATTTTTTTTAAAAAAATTACGAACTTAATGTATGTGTTAAGAACTTTTAATTCAACAATTGGACTATTAAAATTTGATATAAAACATGAGTTATTTAGTAGAATAAGTCACTTACTCTTGAAGTAAGTGAATCTCTCATCTCTCTCTTTATATATATATGAGTTAATCACCTATACACTGTCAGTGTAAAGTTTTTTTACACCGGCAACCAAGAATTTCCATCGATTATGTGAAGCTAGAAAGAAATTTAGTAGATCCTTTAACTAAACCCCTAGGAAGGAAAATGATCTTAGAAACGTCAAGAGAAATGGGACTTAATATGTCTCAAGAAATTTATTTGTGAGCCAAGTTTACTATAATTTTGACACCTCTAAATATAATATTTTTCAAACAATTAAAATTTACACTACACATACTAAAATACTAGTTGTAGAGACTAAAAGATAAAGTTAATAAAATTATAAAGACTAAAAAAAATTATTTTAACCTAAATTTTAATTAGATCTCATTTTTAGTGTATTCGTTTCTTAGGCTTCAAGAAACTTTATTACGTAAAAGTCTGTTGAGAAAAAATCACTTTTGATATATTTAATTCAAAAGAATAAAAAGGAAGGGAAAAAGAAATAATTTCACCATAAAAGTTTGTTAATAAAAAATCATTCTGCTTTGCATAAAAAAAAATACTAAAGGTAATAATGTTTTGTAAAGTTAGAAACTAGAATGAAAATTTTGTAAAATTAAATACTAAAGCGACCAACATTTAGAATATTAATTATTAATGAATAAAACAAGTGTTTGTTCCGACTAATATATATATATATATATACTGGGGGAAGAGGCAAGTAGTGGGAAGAAAGGGATTATTAACCCTTCATTTTCCCTTCCCTACAGCGTTACCATCCATTTTTTTTAACCAAGCAGCAAGTATCACATAATTGTTTTTTCTTTTGATACCAGAAACAAACAATTAAATAAAGTAATAAACCAGGTCTGTTCTACTCCTATCTTTGGCCCTAGAGAAAAACGTATTAGATAAGAAAATTTCTGTATAATCAAAACCTCTATATGGGAGGAAGAATAACAGGAAATGAGATTCTAAAATTAAGAACAGGGAATTATAATAATTGTAAATACAATTAAAGAACCAGCGTCATTCATTCCCTTGCGCACAGAACAAAGGAAGTTATTCTGAGAGATTCCCTCGTAGTAGTTTACAGAAACATCAAACGTTCTAACACTATACACTGTACATTCTCAGCCAGTGAGAATACCTTAATTAACAGGATCATAATATCCAAGAAGTTGAGACACAGGACAACAGAATAGTACATTCAAAGTCTAAAATTTAAATCAGAGCAAAATTTTCTGCTCTTTCTTTTTCTCTATTTTTTTTATAAAAAAAAAAAAAAAAAAAGATTAGCTGAGCAGATGGATAAGCAATTCTAAATAGATTGTCTCCTTTGTATGGTTATTAGTATCCCAACTTACAGTTAAATAACCATGCAATGCATTTTTTCAGTGGCAAACTCCAAAATGATTTTTCATGTAGAACAACAACAGTTCTTGCTAAGGGAAGAATATACATCATTTCTTCAAAAGCTTCTGCGAGAAAATCTTCTTGGAATACGGGCTATTCCGCGAAATTGCTTTGTGGGACTCGATTGCTTCAACTAGCAAGTTATGCACATGGCCCTAGATTAGAAGTAAAAGGCAATAGTGAGATAAGAAATACCAAGCAGATAAGAGGAATCAAATGTCGTTGACAAAGCCCAAAAAGCTTATAGATACAACTGATAATTTTATGCATTTCATATGGTTATAGGGAGCGGTAACCAAAGTGAAAGAAATATAAATTGGTCATGTTACAAACCTCAGAATGTCGAAGAGCTGACTGAACAACATAATTTGCATGTGGATCTTGAAGCAACTGCTCAAAGTGAGGAGCATAGAGCAGTTCATGAATGACACTTGATCGTTTCTCATCATTGAATACAGCAAGACATTTTTCAACCACATGGCTGCTGAACTTCTGCATTGACATGTGCACATATTTACCTTGAAATTGCGAACTTAAAGTTGAAGTGGCCGAAGGAATCCTCAAGTCCAAGATAAATTGAACAACATAATTTCTGCAGAAGACAAAAAGAATGAATCGAAAAGAGTAGAAAAATGAGCGGAGTAAAATTTTATCTGTTTCAATTCAAAGTACATAAAAATTCTAACTATGACCAATAACGTATCTTTAGATAATCCTCCTTTAAAAAATGAGTTTTTGCTAACTATAAATCCCAAGCACAGAAGAAAGAAAGCAGAGAACCTCAATAAAAATAAATAAATAAAAAAAACTCATTTCGAGTGCATTCTATTGTTCCACCATATGGTTTAAGGAATCTCACAAATTGCTGAGTTAAAAAACTTGATAATTATAGACGGATTTCTGTTTCAAATTTAAATATGATAGTAGATAAAAAATTTGCTCCTTGACAATCACTCTTTCGGTAATTGCACCCCGCACATTGTCATCGTTAATCTAGTATGTGGAATGGTCATAAGAAAAAGGAGTAAAACAAGATGTTTCATGACAGCCACACCTACTAATCCCCACAAAGTCTGGTTGTCGTTGTCTGGTGATATGGGTTAAAAAATCCACCAATCACCAGAGACAATTTGCTAAGCTAAGATTCTTTGTCCAGGAAATAAACCATGTATTTAAACAGAAAGGTTAGACATGCTTAACATAACAAATATGCTTCAAATAATTACCCATACTGATCTTGAGCCAGCAGAAGTGCATTATTAGATATTTCTGCAACCAGTTTTTCTCTATACTCCCCACTTGAATGACCAATGCATCTTTGCAGAACACAACATCCGTGTTGATGAGTTGCAATGTCAACACAATACTTTGCAGCAGCAACAAATATGAACTGCACAATGCAAAGAATGTGAGATGTAACTTTTTTCTGCAACAAAATATCAATATTTGTACACATTGTATGCAGTTTTATCAAACTCTAGCTTTTAACAGAGAATAAATTACATGTGACAAAGTGATCTGCCCGAATCAATTAGCATGATTAAGAAATTAAACTAGGGTAAAAATGTTATATCCATACAGTATACTTAAGAGTGTTTAAAACATGCTATAGAGATGGCCTATAATAACATTTCTATTAGTAAAGCAGAATAGCAGATCTTTGTCATTTATTGTCAACATTTTCATTACACAACAGATTTAACCTTGAACTAGCAATATGCACAACAGATTCAACTTCAACCACAGTTCATAAGCTCTTTACCCTGTAATATATATAACATCACAAATTAATTTGTTGTTGGGTAGTTGGTCTGAAGACTCTGCTCTTGAGAGTGTTGAGATGCAATTTAATAATCCTAAATGCATTAATTTTACAATGGAAGTAAAGGTTGCAAGGGATCAAATTTTTAAACAAAGCAATAAACGTGTACTTAGATTCTTAAAGTATTGTTCAACACATAACAAGCTATGTTTTGGATGACATAGTAATTATTAGTTGAGAGCATTTTCATGAAATCATTATTTTAAATAAGCACTAGAAAGTCTCCCACAGTTTAATCATCAATGAGACAATATTTTGAACAAGATTCTATGACCCTGCCACTACATTGAATGTCCATCTATAAGGTAGGTTGAAAATGCTATTAAGAACAATAGAACAGTAAGTTAAAGAATAATAAGAGTAAAGCAAAGAAAAAGCAATTACACCACTGCATTTGGATTCTGTGAGAAGAATAAATACAGTTAGACATAACTAATAATCATTATCATCATAATGTACAATTTGATGAAACTATTAATCAGTCAAGAAAATGTCTAGTCTACTTGACACGGTAATTTACAATGTACTGTATTATTTAACATTATAGGCCAACCTCTTATGTGTCCAAGAAAAGAGTGTCAACTATGTGATCATAAATAAATCATTTCAAATGCTTTGATACCATGATGTCTTTTCATAATATCAACTATCAAAAATAGTCATCTGCAATAATGAACTTGGTACTACTTGTCTGTAAAGTCATAGCCCTTCAGTTAAAAACATAATAATCTATATACAAGACCATAGATGAAAGATGATTACAGAATTTTTCATTGAATAGTTATATATGTAGGAAAAATAAGAAACATGTTCATGATCAGGCAAACAAAAAAAAAAGGTTTGAACAATTTGGCCAAGCAGAACAGCTCGTGACCATAATGCTTCCTATGATCCCTTTCCTTTCAAAAAGGACTATGAAGTTTCCTAGTATACCCAAAGAAGGAAGAAAAAAACACTTAGCAAATTTTATTCAATAATGCATACAAACATAACCATAGAGGTGCATAAAATAGAAACTTCGATCATTAGAACATCAATATACAGCACTGCATGTCAGGGAATAAGCAACAAACTTTTGAGAACAGAATGAAACTGGAGGAAAAGATGGTGCTTCTCACACAAGATGATCAGCTATCATGCATTGATCCAAAAGCTCATAAAAACATAGTATTAAGCGATTTAAGCAGATCAATTTCTGTTCATCCACAACAAAATTTTTCCAAATCAATAAATAACTTAAAAGGGTAAAAGTCATACTTTGTTATCTTCATTGCTTAGGCATTGTAAACAATGCTGAACCACATGATTTCCATTAAGATCTTTGATGAGGGACAAAAATCCTGGTTCAAGAGCTGATACAACTAACGAAATTTGCTGCCTAGTTTTGAGAGTCTCAATCAGCTTCTGTACCACACGAGTGCTGACAGAAGATAAACAGTAATGTCAAATTTAACAGCCGGCACTCTATAATATTTCAATACTAGCATAAGTTGCATGATTACCCATGAGTGTTTAAAGAGATTCTGACAAGCTGCCCTGGCTCCTGAGTAACCACGAGTATGATCTGCATCCTCTGTTCTTCGTCACAAACATCCAACAACTTCTGCATAAGGTAATTTCCAAAAGGATTTATCATAAGTTCCACAACATGATCAATGATCTCATTAAATATCACTTGTACATCTTCCAGTGTACCCTCATCAAACATTCTTTGCAGGAACCTACAGCCATGCTGATCTTTGGCTATTAAATATATCGACCCCCGGGCTTCTACTAGGGAATTATACTTAGGTAGCAAAGGGAATGAGCAACCATTCCTCGGACTCCTAGGATTTTCATATCCTACAATCTGGTGTCGGATGTCAGGCTCCGACCTATGTAGCTGCTTAGCAAAGCCACTTTCACACCCAGCACGCTGACACCGTGAATGATCCAAACCCCTGCTAACAACATAATTTAAACCTTCCCCTTGTATGATGAAGCTCCCCTCACTAGTAATGGAGTCTAGATTCCCCTGGGGCATTCTAGTATTTGAACGCGGGACACCTCTTGTTGCATTAGGCAGAGAAAGGCCAAACTGCAGTAACTCTTGAACACTTGTACATGGCCTAAAATTGTTATTGTTAGGCAATCTTGACATCACCCCTCTTTCTTCAGGTAAATTGATTCCATATTTATGCTCGTAAAGTGAAGCAGCATCAACCGTTGCCGGACTCCTACTCAAGGAAGCAACAAGCTCCGGCGCCAAGCTTCCCCTACAATAATAATCATTCATCAGCTGCCTCCTGCGCCTGGGAGAATTCATGGAGCCACCACTGAATCCATTCACTTGAGACCTCAGAGAATCCATTGAACCACCACTGAATCCGTTCAATTGAGACCTCGGTGAATCCATCAAACCCCCATCAAATCCATTCAACTGAGACCTGGGAGAACCCATTGAACAACCACTGACTCCATTCAGTGGTGAGAGCATCCCGTCGGGGCCAGGCCACTGCGATCCAAATAAATTAGCCATTTTATGATCGTGAGTGAGTCCTGAAAATGCTGAATTCATTTCAGCAGCATGAGTGACAAGAGGACTCCTGGTCCTAGCCAGGGGGGATTGAAACCCCAGGGAATCACTAAACCCTCTCTTGAAATCGTTACACTCCCCGCCACCACCACCACCACCACCACCACCACCACCACCACCACCACCACCACCACGGGCGTTGTGAACATTATTAATAATAAAATCACGAAACGGAAGCACATTAGTATTGTCGTATTTATTGTTGTTTTTGTTATGAGCAATGTGCATTTTACTGAAATTAGCGCAGAGGCCTAGTTCATGAACCAACCTCTCATCGGTGGAATCAGGAATCTTAGGGTAATAGGAGCTTCGAGAATGCACGGTGGATTTGAGGTCCTCGAAAGATGGAGGCGATGATGAGAACAAACTGGAAGAAGAACCTTCAGATTGCAGAGAGAAGCCACTCAGAGGTGATGATGACGCACACGAAAACTTAATCTGAGTCAAAGGATCATCATCGTAATACATAGCATTACCATTACCATAGTGTGGCTGTTTTGTAAAAAAAGAAGCATCATCATGGGCATGGGCATGGGCATGGGCATGTCGATGGCCATGATGATAATAACGAAGGAGGTTATGCGATGTGGCGTGAGGGATCTCATCCAGCAACATTTCTAGCTCCTCCAGTTCTCCCTCGTCCCTCTCCTTCTCTATCATCTCTTTCGCCATTTCAAGAAGCTCAGAACAGAAGGGTAAAAGAAAAAGCCATACGACGTCGTCTGGTCTGGGTTGGGTAAGGGTTGAACAATCAAAGGTCGCGTCTGGATGATGCGACTCACAATCGCATTTTCATTTGAAAAAACAAAACGATCACATCACATCTGGGTTATTGGGTTTTATTTGTGAAGAGTTGGTGAAGCATGCAAAGATTCAACATTCTCATACGGTTACTCCCACCCTAGCTGTACTGTACACACTCACGCCATTAAAACTTGCACAAGAAGAAGAACAGACACTCTACACTTTCTATTTTCTTTTTTTTTTCTCTCTATTTATATCAACAACTGCACCAAACCCAAGCCACAACACACTCTGCTGTGCAAGTCTTTCTCGCACTGTATTTTAAACTTTTTTTTTAATACTATTTTTCTATAATATAATAAGAAGTGTATCGGTGCAAGTGATTTGTGATGCGTGTTGTGCACGCTCTGTTATGAGCACTATGTGGTGGGCATGAACCTAGATTGTTGCTGTTATGGGAGATTAAATGAAAATAAAAAATAAAATTTGTTTAGAGAATTTTCTGTTACTGATATCTGCACGGATTGCAACAAGACAATCCTCCAAATTCTCTCGGGGTGTTCGTGTGTAACGGGAGACGAGAGGATTTGTTATTGGGAAATTTCTATATTGCCCTCATTCTATGTTTGTATTATCTTTGCATGTCCCCCAAAGTAATCAATAAGTTTGATAAATCTAACTTAAATTTTAAAGTATTATAATTATTAGACAATTTGACAATTTTAAATATCTTTAAGAAAAAAATTATATTGGAACATTTTATTAAATAATTAGAATTATAATATATAATTTTTATGTTTGTTAAAAAAAAGTATTTCGTGTGTAAAAAAAATTAGTGTTTCTATAAAAGTGGATAGTTACTATTTTTAAAGAAAATGATTATTATATATATATATATATTTGTTTTTATTTTATCATTAAATATAAATTAGTTAGAAAAAACAAAATAAAATATGAAAATATAATTATCTTTAAAAAGTGAAAAAAAAATATTTTTTTATATATAAACTAATTTGATATAATGTGTTAAAATTCAAATTTTAAAATTTAAATTTAGATTGTTTAAAACTATAAATTTAAGTAACATTTGAGAAATGAAAATAATATATTATATTTATATCACTTTTCAAATGAAACTTATTTACATCATATAAGGTCCTAACAAGTGGTAGTTTGAATAATTTTTTTTAAGTAAAATAAGAAAGATTATAAATATGGTGATAATATAAATTAAAATTTAGGTTTTCAGGTTTTTATTATTTCAACTTTTTTCTCCTTAACCACTAAGATAATTTTAATAATGTTGAAGTTTGAATAATATATACAAAATTTTATATTTAAATTTTGTTGTTATTATTATAATTCATATGAATAAAAAAAACTAATCAATTAAAAGAAAAAAAAAAACCTTTTAGTAAGAGTATGCTGTTAATTCTTATTCAATGATACAGGTGCATTATTAGTTTTTCTATTATAAATTTTCAGATAAAAAATTTAGATTAGTGATACTGATAAGGTATTTGGATAATGCAATCCTTACACTTGTAAAAAAAAAATACAATGAAGAGGCAATGAAGCAGACAAGTATAGAAAACGATGGCTGAAAATAAAACATATAATTGATTAATTTGGTTTGTTAGGTAGATCAACATAAAATACAACTTTAAAAATTAAAATAGCAACTAACCAAGGCAATTGGTTTGTAATAAATAATATATGCTGAAATAGAGCATTTTTCTTAGGCTGTAACTCACAATCAGCCTTAAACCCTTTTTATTTATTTATTTATTTTTAAAGAGTGCACATTAAAGGAGCTAAAATTCACAAGGAAAAACAACGTTAAAGAAAATCTGTCAACAATGGAGATGAATTCAAGGACACTAAGAAACACCCTAACATATGATATTTTATAGGAATAGGATGTATATTTAACTAATTGGTCAGCGACTTCAACCTTAAGTTTAAGAGATATAATGATGATATTTGGATATTTTTGCATATTTTACATTTATCAATAATTTTTATTCTTATAATATTAAATTATTATTATTACTATTATTACATGTATATTTTTTTTTCTTCTAAAAAAATGTATATATTTCTTTTACTGACATCTCATTGATCTCAATAAAATTGAGTTTAAAATCTTTAATAAAATTTTTAAATTTGAACATTAATTGTAGATACAGTAAAAAAAAAATATTTGTAGATGAAAAATATAGTTGAGTCTATGTTAAATATAACTAGTTAAGTTTTATAAAAAAAAAATAGTCTGAAAACACTCAGAATAAACCCTAAACCCTAAAAATGAAGCATCAGTGTTTCAAGTGGAGTGAATACGGAGAATGAATAAAAACGGTGTACGCAAACAAACCCAACAACCTGTTAAAACTTGTTTGTTTTTGTAGGGATTGTTACAAGTGAGACGATGTTAACCCTACACAAAACGTGGCATGCAAATGTCATTTTGGGAAAATTGTACAAGAGAACTGCTACTAAAACACGTTTTTAACTTTAATTAATTAATTTTGGTGATGTGGTAATGACACCTACACATTAACCCATATTTTAATCATTCATTTTGATCGTTGATTTGAGAAGAGTTTTCACCACACTCAACCAACCTCTCTTCATTGCTTTTGCTAGAAACTAAAGTGATTACTAACCAAAAAAAAAAAAATTAAACTTAAAACCCACATGCATGCATAATGCATTTTTTGATTAAAAAATGAAAATGGTAGTGGCTTGGTCTCAAAGATAAGGACACAGTTGGCATTTAGGGGTTTGGAAGGGCCAAAGTTTGAGGAAGTGAAAAAGGAATCGCAGTGCATGAGAAAGTGGCGAAGATCGTTTGATTCGGTTCCTTAGTGGGAAAGCGAGAAACCGTTGGGACCCACATGTGCCTGCATGCACCTTAGTTTTGGAATTGGTCCACCCATGTCGTGGAACTCCTCCTATCATCCGATGACACTTGGCACTTGACGTACGTACCAGATGAAAGCGATTATCTCTAGTTATGCCCTAGGCTTATAGGTCTAGCGTCTACGGTTTTAATTTTGGAGTCTAATCAAATAGATCTCCTTTTTGGCTAACTTTTTGTGTCTTTAAAGCAATTATTTGTATTTGCATACCATAACAATTAACAACACACTATTGTATTTTCTATTTTCTATCTTGGACATTTTTAAATTATTAAATCTCTTCTATATAAGAAAATTGATCTAATATGGTCGGGCATAGATGGTACAAAATGATTTTTTTGAATGTGTGATTAGGATACATTTTTGTACACCAAAAATATTTATTGGAAATGTTTTATCCCTTAAATTTCAATTTCTCAAGTGATTAGTTATCGTTTAGATTCATCCCAAAACAGATTCAACCACTCCTAAACTTTTAAAGTTTATTCTATTTTTTTTTGAATGTTTAGTATCAAACTTGCATGTTATTTTGTTATATTTTAATTAAATAATAATAATATAAAGAGAGAGAAATTCAAGAATAATAAAATTTTATTTTAGTATTTTAAGTACCCATAAACAAATAAAACAACAAACTAATAAAAGAGAAATTTACAAAATAAAGAGTGATTGAATTATAATTGAGATATGTAGTACTAAGAAGAAAATTACTAAGCACGTGAAATGTGAATCTATTGAGATATAAGTGATTTTTTAATAATTTAAATTTAATAAAATTTATAAATTGAGATATTCATTTTTTTTATCTTATATAGAATGCATTTAAACATTATTTATTGTTTTTCAGTCAAAAAATTATTTATTATTTAAAAATAAAAGCTATAAATAGATTTAATTTAAATCTTATTTAATCGAATTGAATTTTTTTTATTTAAAATTAAATCAATCAAATAGAGGAATGTTAAAAAATATATAATTAAATTTTAAATCGAATTATTTTTTTCTCATAACCATTTTAATCCAATCTCTAAATTATTAAGGTTAGCCTAGTAGTTGAGTAGAGAGGAATTGAGGTAGTTAGAAACATGAGGATCTATGTTCAATCCTCGTTGCGACCATCTTTATAATCTTTTCTATCTTTATAAAAAAAAAAAAATCTAATCTCCAAATAAAGTTTATACCTTGATTTTTGACCGAAGTTTGTGAGTGCAGAATCTATTGCTCACAATCATTTGAAATGGGCCATAATGTGGACTAATGTGCATGGTAACGTTGTATTGGGTTTGACATTGTTTGATTCCTCTTCGGGTGAAATTGGATTGGATCAATAGGGCTGTCCCAAACAAAAAGGTACCCATCCTATATTCTCACTTTCCTGTCATTTTTCATTTCCTCCTCTTACCTTCCACTTTACATATATGTGGTTGATACAAAATATTTATTATTTTATCGACTAATTTTTATAAAAAAAATTAATTAATAATTTTTCATGATTCTTTCTTTTTAATTATATCATAATTAACTGGAGTTCACTACTCTTTTAATGTGTTTGAATTAATTTATTTTCACTGAAGTAATTTTTTTTTATGATTTCTAACTGAACTTCAAAAAATAATTACTCAAATAGAATCGGTTTCATCATCTTTATCTGTTATTTGGGTCTCTTTCCGTAAAGGATAAGTGAGAAATTGACAGAAAACCTTGAAATCTATTCCTTTGATTTGATGGTACAAGTATACTTTTTCTCCAAATAATGTTTGTTTTACTTGCGAAGACATATAATTTGTTATTTACATGGATTTATGTGACAATTTTTTTATAGTTGTTATTATAGACAGTGTTTTCTTACAAAGTTTGTTTCATTATAAATTAGTTTATTTTAGACGTTGCACTTTATATATAATAATAATAATAATAAAACTTAACTTTTTATTAGATTTATTACTCTTGCAATGTCTGAGTTATTTTTGATAATACATATGATATAATATCTAAATTTTCTCTATCATGATATTTATTATATAAGTTGTATTGAATAAATAATAATTTTTTTTACAAAAATTTTAAATACATTTCTTAAAGGTCATCCAATTTTACTTTTTCCCCAGTTTTATGAAATAAGTCATTAGAGAAAAAAAAAAACTTAATTTTTCGTGCATAAAAATTAATTAGAATAAATTAATAAAATTAAATAATGAGAGTATGAATAATAATAAAAAGTTAAAATTTAAATTTTAACTACCTTATACACATGTATGAAAAATTTTACAATAAAACTATTTTTTTATATACAATATAAAATCTATCAATTTAAACTCTATCAAAGGTCTAAAAACAGTTGAAAGATGATTAAAGTAAATATAGAAAATTGTAACAGTAAAATTAAAGGTTTAAAATCTTTAGTTAATTATTAGCTTTGAAATATTAATGATTGAAAATATAATTTTTGTTTTTATTAAATTTAATATAT